ATAGGATCACAAGTCCACTTCTTGTACAGCAATTAACCACTAAGAAGAATATATGCAGTGTATTATTTGTTGAAACTGTACTTCCGATTGGATTTGAAACTTTCTCATTGCTATCTGTTTATCAATAAAACTTTGAAGAAAAAAAAAAAAAAAAGGAACAGGCAGGAAGCTTTGAAAGGGTAACGCGGCTCTTGCTTGGCAGACCAAAGATACAGTCACGAAATGTTTGCTCCCGACAGGTGAGTGGAGGAGAGCCACAGGGAGTGGAGAATCAACTTTAAATTCAAAACTTCAGTATTTTAAGCACAGAGTTTCAAATTCCCATACAACCTTGAAAAAAAATGGAGACTAAACTGCTTGTGCATTTCCTGGCCTGGCTGGCTAGTTGAAGCAAATCAGCAGCACAGCAGAGGAGAAAGATGCCAGAAAGAGAAGAAAGCCGGGTAAGACAGGGCGCTTGACACACAGCAGCCTGAAGAGACTTGGAAAGCTGATGAAATGTAATTACATAAAGGTATAAAGTATCTTAAAAAAATAAAAATTAAAAAAGTACCTTTAGAACATTTTCATTTATATAAAAGTGACCTCATTTATCTAAAATTCTCGGAAACAACATTCAAAATGACCCACATCTACAGGCAGGTTTTAACTGTATTTGTAAAAACCTGCTGTGCAAAATATATAGACTAAGACGAATGTAAACACTATAGTGAACAGCATTTTACACCATAAAAACAAAATCTGCTCAAAATATGTGTCAGAAACTTCTGCCCCAGTAATTACTACTGTACTAACAAATTTCTCAGGAGTACAAAACCCCAAGAAAGCAATCTGAGCCAAAATAACTAATACACTCTACTCAACAACAAACAAGCTAAATAGCTCTTTTGAATCAACTACATTAATTTCGTCTTTCTAGTCATTTTATGAGGCAGGAAATTCATCTGTGAGGCCCATATGCTTTGCTGCCAATACTGAGGAAAACAATTTCTACAACTGCAAATATTACAACAGCTTCAGTAATTGTGGGAGTCTAAAAATAAATGGGAATTAGTACTGTATTGTTCCAAAATGCCTTTAACCCAAGTCTTCAGTGCAGTACAAAACTAGTGACCCACTGCAATCTATTTGGAAGCTTCATAATTATTAAATCATAGGCAATGAAAGGGGATTATAAGCTTTATTTCCAGTTTAAAAAGAAAAAAACACTAAAAGCCCATGTATTTAACCATTGGACTCTGGTAAGCCATTCCAGTTCATTTGCTTAGAAATTAAGACAGCAGTAACATGTCAAAATGTTCCCTTCAATTGCACCCGAACCACAACGTTCCCACCCCCTCATAACCACTGGTGCAAAACCAAGGACAGAATCTTTCCGAATGAATAAAATCTAAATTTACTGGAATTTTGCCCACGGGAAAGTGATGCCTTTCAGCAACTGAAATCTTAGGTAATCTTAAGACCCAATTAATAACAGTGTAAGTAGTGTGCTCCCTTCACAGTATCAGGTACACAGAAGCACTGACTTGAAACCTTCATCAAAAAAATCTGCCGTGGTTTTAAAAGTACTGAGCTCTAAAAATGCACTTTATCAATGTGCACTGTGGTGCATATGCATTTTATACAAGTTCTTATACTAGGGGTTCCACCGTTAGGAGATGCACTCCGAATGCTCGCTTCGCAGCACATACACTGAAAAGAGAGATGCACCTGGAAGAAAAAGCATCACTTGGGAGAGATTTCTCCGGACGGTGGTGTCATTTGTGACTATGTTTTCACAGCTGGCCATCAATGCAAATTCTACGACGAAGCGGCTGACTGGGGGCACTCCGAAGGAGCAGCAGCGACGGGATGGGGAGCAGGGGCCAGGTCACTCTTGAATTGCAACGCGGCGGGGAAAGATAACCCAGGACAGATTTTGTGTGCAACTGGTAAGGGGCCTTACCAGTTGGTCGCGGGGAAGCAGCACACACACAGGCGCACAACACACAGGAGTGCAACACGCGCGGACGGGGTCCACAGCGGCGGCGGCCCCAGCTCCCAGGCACAGGTGGGCGCAGGTCCCGGGCACGGGCGCACCCAGCTCCCCGGCGGCTGGACCGAGCAGCAGGCGCCCCGGCACCGCGGACTGAGCGGCAGGCGCCCCAGCCCCAGAGCTTCCCCGGGCGCCCGCACCCGCGCGCCGCCTGCTCTGCCGGACCGCGGAGCCCGCCGGGACGGCAGCTGCGCGGACGGGGACGGCGGGACAGTCCGAGCCGGGCGCGACGGGGACACCGGACGGGCGCGGGGCAGCCACCCGGCGGGAGCCCAGCCCGCAGCGAAAACCGGCTGCGAGGGCAGGAGGGGGCGCCGGAGAAGCCGCCTCTCCGGGGAAACGGAGGCAGGCGCGGGCGGGCGGGGACCACGACCGCGGCTCCGGGATCGCGTCCCGCGCCCGGGCGCCGGCGGACCCTCACCTGGTACTCGGGATACTCAAACATGTAACTCATGCTGCACTTGTTCTCCTCGAAGCCGAAGAACACGTCCCACAACCCCAGGGTGGCCAGAAAGACCATGAAGACGTAGAACGCCAGGTTCCAGAGGTTGACGGAGTGGAGGAACATGGTGCTCCCGTCAGCGCCGCCGCCGCCTCGGGGACCCAAGCTATCACTCCGCGAGCCGAAGTCGCCCTGCCGCTAGCTCGCGAGCCGAGCCCAACCGAGTTCAGCCGGGAAAACACGAGCCCAGGCGAGTCTGGCCGAGCCAACACGAGCCGAGCCGAGCCGAGCCGCGCGCGCCTGCGCAGAGCCCGCCAGACGCAGCCCCCCCTCCCCCCCCCCCCCGGCCCGCTACTCAGTGCGCGTGCGCGCAGCCAGTCCGGACTTGGGGCAGTAGGTCGGAAGGTAGCGGCGGAGACCGACTGCGAGTCCGCGGGTGGAGAGAGGCGCGAGAGCGCGGAGGGGCTGGGCAGGAAGGGCGACCGTCTGTGCCGTGGCGTCCCGGACGGATGGGGCCGGGACCCGCTGGCCCTGCGCGGACGCCGCGCCCAGTCGGTCTCAGGTCGCGGCCGCTGGGCCGAGGGGCGACCCAGGCCCCCGCCGCCCTCCGCCTGTGGCCGAGTGCTGAAGGTGGAAGTCCGCGTTCTCTGGAAACGTCGCGCCCACCCAGTGTCCGGGGACCGGATTCACTTTTGCACAGAGGAGAGGGGAAGGCAGATCAGAACGTAATCACGCCCGCAGCCTCAAAATACGGATGTTGGGGAGAAGGCACGGCCTCATTAAGCGCTGACCCGGCAGCAGATGGGTGTGTGGGTGTGTGTGTGTCGCCAGCTGCAGAACCCTCCTTAAATGGGTTTGGCAGTCAATGCGGACAGATTTTTTTTTTTCCCAGAACCGGGGATTGAACTCAGACTCTTTCGCTTGCCAAGGAAGCGCTTATTCTACTGAGCCATCTCCCGGATTTATCATGGGGGTGTGTGTGTGCATTTTCTGTGGAGACAAAGTTAGGCTCTCCTATTCAAAGTGGAAGCATCTCAAAACTAAACAGAGGGCCGTCCTAATAGCTGAGCGGACTAAATTTAGCGCCTGCCTAGGGAGAGCGCGGTGGCTGGGGTTCGATCCCCGGTGTGCTAATCCTCCGCGTGCCTTGCCAGCCCCGCCCTCGAGGCCCGCTGATCAATGGACATTGGGCATGGTGGCGGCGCCGTAGTCCCAGCTCTTGGGAGACTGAAAACAGGAGAATCGCTAGGAGTCCAGTCTATGTAATGAAACCCTGTAGACCCTGTCCTAAATACAGCAATAAAGAAAAAGAAAAAGAAAAAAAAAAAAAACAAAAAAAAAAACTAAGCGGGAATTTATGCTTTCTCTTGTGCAGTCTCCTAAAGTTCACATTAAGAAATAACCACTGAGGGATGAAAGGATCTTGAAAGTCAAGTTCAAGTCAGGTGTAAACGTATAAATTTAAGCAAACAGAGATGGCTCCTGGGTGTGAAATAGAGAAACAGAAAGAAATACAGAAATGCAGAAACAAGCTCTTGTATTTGGAGATAAATTTGGAAGGTTCTGGACCACAGGTTGGGCAGCTATGGGTAATTTCTAAATAATATGTATTTGGGGTGTTAAGAAGTTCCCGATGTGGAGATGAGGTCACTTGGGTACGTTGACTTTTACAATCTGGTGATAGTAGAGTGTTAAATTTGTGCAGTTGTACCAACTAACTGCATTATCAAGAAGAACCTGTTTTTGATAAGCACAATGTTTAGAGATAAGTGTGATAAAGAGGTACACAGAATGTTGACATATCGTACCTACAAAAGAGCAGCTAGGGTACAGTGTGAATTACCAGTTTGGAGAACTATAAATGTTCTTTTTTTCATTTATGTATTTGGTACAGGGTCTCACTACACAGCTCAGACTTGTAGTGATCCTCCAGTTTTCAGCCTGTCCAGCGCTGGGATTGCAGGTGTGCTCCACCACACAGGGACTCGGTCACCAGCTCAGCGTGCCTAGGAGCGGGACTCGGGATCCAGACCTTGCTCCCTGTGCTTGTCAAAACAGACACTTAGTCCACTGAGCTATCTCCCCGGCCCTGTTTGAAGAATTTTAAATCATGAGGGAAGGTATTTAAGTTACAGGTAAAAAGAATACATTGAATCTCCTTGTTCAAGAGCACCCCAGACAGAACATATCTGCCTCTTACCTCTAGCTTTTTAGCAGTAATATTATGACAAGTCCAGGGCATTTCCACTCTCCTTCATCTGTCTATTCTAGTGCTTCAACTTAATACGCATGTGAAGTATTTGGAAATTCTGTGCAGATGCCCACCATGATTGAGGAATTTGGGGGCAAGGTCTGATGTGTCTGACCAACTCTTCCATGTTGCCAAAGGCTCTGGGCCTTGGGTAGCACGGTCTCACCTGTCCAAGGAGACTGTGGGAAGAACCCTGAACTTGAGGGTGACAATTACACCGTGGCAACCTGCTGCTTGGCTGTCTACTCAGAAGAGTGAGGGATGAGAAGCAATTGATTCTCTGTGTGTAGGTTTCTCTCCTGCTTTCTTCTTGCCTGTCCATCAGTGTCTACCAGAGTCCCGTTCTTCTGTATCTGTCCTATTGCTTGTGCTTTAACCACCCTCCACCAGGCTTTTCAGCTTCCTGGAACTCTTGTTCTGTCCCATTCCACTCGGGACTTCCAGCCTTGGGTCAGTAGAGCTTGGCTCCGAGCTCTGAACTAGTGTGTCTGAGTACTATAGGAGACAGTGGCAAATCCTTGAATTACTATTCTAGAAAACATGTATGTTTCCCATTAACTTCCTCTCCTGTTCTTCAAGCTACTACTTTTTAAGCTCCCCACACTTTTCCCCCTTTTCTTTCAGATTACTGATACGTAACTGTATCTTTATATTTGGAGAGACAGCTTTGATTTTCCGGTGCACATTGCTTCAACTTCTCCTTCCCAGTGTCATCATCTCCACCCAGCCCTAATTCATGTGATACGTCTGAAGGCCTGGAGGCATGCCTGGCACGTCCTAAGCCTTGTTACTGAGTTTTGCTGTCCTTAACAGCATCACAAACGACCCCTCTGGCTTGTGCTGCTTCCTACCACCACCCTTTTCCAGCAAGTCTGTCAAGGTTTCTATCAGTCTTCCCATTTGTGTTCCCTCCCCTGAAACCTATGCCAGGCCGTCTTCTAAAAAAGAAAAAGCCTCTCTGTAGCTGTCATCTGTGGCCCTCACCTGGGCATCTGAGGGTCCTCGAGATGGAGAAACTCACCTCCAGTCCCTCACCACACAAGTGCACCTCCAACCCTGTAATCTTTGTTCCTCATGCCACGGTAATCTTTGCTCACAAAGGTACCATTGGCCTAGTTACCAAGTCTGGTTGGCATTGCTCAATCTTACACAGTCTTCCTGTTTCTTCTTTAAAACAGAGGCCTCTACTGTCTTCCTTAGTATCGCTCTCCACTCACTTTTCTCCTGCTCCTCTGCCTCCCCAGCTCCTTCACAGGTGACTTAATTTTCCTCCATCTTCTGTTGTTAACCTCATGGCTTTAGTGTCAGGCATAATTCTGCTTTCCAACATAAATCCTTCAGTAGTTACTTGATGCCTGCACTAGGGCAGGATTTTCTTGGTTATAAGAAATACAAAATAGCCATGTGTGGTGGTACACTCCTGTAGTCCCAGCACTCAGGAGTCAGGAGGATTGTCAAAGGTTCAAGGCCAGCTTGGGCTGTATAGCCAGACTGTTTCAAAAAAATCCAAAACCAAACAAGCAAAAAGCAAAGTAACTCAAGGTTAAAAGGGGATAGACTAGCCAGGTGTGGTGGTGCGTACTTGTGATCCCAGCCCTCAGGAGGCTGAGGAAGGAGGGTTGCTGTGATTTCAAGCAGCCTGAACTCTGTACTGAGACTGTCTCAAATAATAAAGGAACTAGATAGATTGATAGACATGAGATCTGCCAAATATGGTGAATGTTTAAAATTTTAAAGAAATTATAATGATATAAGGCAGTATCTCCCCAGAGCATTACCTCTAATCTTGAGCACGTTTATCCCGTTGTAGTTGCTACTTTCTGAAGGACGTCTGGAAGTCCTTTTCTATACTTGAGCTGTCATGGCTGCACTATCCTGAGTTGGTGTGAAACACTGACTTTTCGTGATCATTTTCACTTTGAGGAAGAGCCAGCAATCACACAATCCCGGATCTGGTGAGCAGGGTGGCTGAAGACACATGGCAATGTTTTTAGGAGCCTGCTTTTCTACTGGATGGTGTTCGGCAGCTACATTCAATGTATTTTTTATCACACCTTCTAAAGACACTCAGAAAAGACCACTTAGGATCTGCTTGAGAAAGTAGCAAGAACTATGGAATAAATATGTTTGAAGCAAGGGGAGGATTTTGAGGGGGATTAGCAGCAATGTATCTCTAACTTTTAAAGTTTAAACGTGGGCCTTATAGTTCAATCACACCTTGTCTGTAGGTAGAAGAGATCTCAGGGTTCTAAACCTGAACAGAGTGGATGCTGTTCACATGTGAGCGCAGGATGTGCTCGGCTGCCTGAGGCCATCCCACATGCAGGCCTACTCGGTGTAGCTGGTCAGCCTGAGCTGCATTTCTCTCCAGGCTATTTAAAACCCTGCTCAGGGTGTGAGTCGTAAGTCTAGATCTAGATGTATAATCCTTTGAACTAGGCTTCACACAGCCAAGGCTAAGAACTTCCAGCATATGAAAAAGGAAAAGTAAAGTGGAGCCAGAGCTACATGAAGGAACTTGAGCTTTACACAATAGACTGGTGGAAGCTAATTAAACATTTATAAAATGCGAAGTAGTCTTGATTGTTTGGGAAGACCCCATCCTGATCAATGTCTAGCTGGATTGGATCGTGTGTTGGTCCCCAGCTCAACAAAAGGAAGCTGTAGGGTTAGTGTAGTGAAGGACAGAAAGAAAGAAGACTTGTGACTGTCTGTTATAAAGAATTCTGCATAGTATACTTCGATAACTAATGATGAATAGTTGGGTCAAATAATACACAGAGATGTCCAAGATGTACTATTAAGAGAAGAAACAAAATGCAAGAAACTATGTATGTTGTTTTGTCATGTGTGTGGCAGAAGCATACAAAGAATAAGTGAAATTAAATGTTTCCAGGATCAGACAATGTGATGAAGGAGTCAGGAGAAAAAACAATAGATCTTATGGATTCCTTTGTTTTACCTTAAGCCATAAAAATGCAATAAACATGAAGCTGGAGGATCACTACAGGTTTGAAGTCAGCCTGGGATACAAAGCGAGGCCCTATCTCAAAAATCAAAAACAGAAACAAAAAAAAAAAAAAAAAGAAAAGTACAATAATTTTAAACCAATCCTATAAGTTAAAAATTAATGGAAACCATGAATGTAACTATATAAAATTAATAACAAAACTATATATCCCAAAAAGGACATTTCAAATAACTTTAATACATAACTCTTCATATACCCTTAGTGAGATGCATTTTAAAAACATAAAGAACTACAAAGAAATCATAATCTGCAGTAGCTTCTTTGTAAATAGCAATATGGGTTTTGTTACTCAAGAGCTCTTCTCTTCATATTTAGGATAAAGCAAACATAGTCATACTTATGATAAACTGTCAAGAATTTTAAAGATTATTTTCACTGAAAGATGATAAGGATAGTATTTGAAGAAATTTGTTTGTTTGGGGTTTTTTTCTT